GAATCTTGATTATTATATGTCTAGGTGTAGATTTTTTTTGATCGTGGCTAGTTGGGGTTCTATATGCCTCACTTATCTGTATGTCTAATTCTTCCCTTCTGTTTGGGAAGTTTTCTGTCATTAATTCTGTGAAGAGCTTTTTTATATCATTTGTGTTTTCTCCTGTTTTTTCATGAATTCCTATCAGTCTTATGTTATTTTTCTTTGTATCGTCTAGGAGTTGTTGGATTGATTTCTCATGATCCCTTACTGTTTTTAATAGACCTCTTTTTTCACGGTCACTGACTGCTATCCTATCTTCTATATCTGAAATTCTATCTTCGCAATCTTTTATTCTGTTTCGTACACTTTCAATAGAGTTTTTAATCTCCTGGATATCTGTTTGAATCTGTTTTATGGATTCCATTTCTTTCCTCTGTTGGGCATTCATTGTTTCCATGTCTTTCTTATGCTGAGTCTTCATGGCTTCTATCACAGTCTTGAGCTCATCTATTTTTTTCTCAGTTTCTGCTCTAGAGTCTCGAATCATGACTTCTATTTTGCTCATCATCTCTCTGGCTAGCTGGGAAATTATTTCTGATTTGAATTTTTCTAGAGCCTGATTGATCAATTTTGTTACCTCCTGTGCTATGGGTCCAGGGAGTCCTGTTGGTTCACTATCAGACTTTTCATCCTCATTTGTCCTACTATTTGCTATTGGTGAACTGGATATTTGTTTTTGTGTCTTGCTTAAGTGTTTTCTCATTTTTATTTTTATTGTTGGGTTGTCCTTCTTTAATTTCTGGGTATTACTTAAATCTTCCTAATATAGTTGCGTTTTAGCTTTTGAGTATCTTATGACTCATAGACATTCTCGTTTTCATAATATCAGAGAAAACAACTCTTTAAATCAATCACCACTCTTTGTCCCAATTGATACATTCAGCAGCCCAATAGGATCAGGCACAGCTTGCCAACTGACCACTTATGGTAGTCATTAATGTATCACCTTTAACTCATGTGAATTAGATTAATTTCAAGAAGCAGCTCATAGTATGTTTGCAGTGAATATTCTTTTCAATATGGCATCTTTACCATTTAGGATGGGGGGTTCGACTTAGAACAAGAGGATTAGATAAGTGAAAGAATTAGAGCAGGTTTGAAGTGAATCCAGAGGTTGTAGAATTACCTTACTATCTTTACAAAGCTATTAAGTTCAGGGGGGATAGAGAGAGTGCAGGAATAAGGACAGGAATATATCCCCTTAACAGTAACAGGCGCTTGCCTTCCCTTGAAGGTACAGAGCCATGAGTGAGGTAAAATGACTGGAGAAAAGAACATAAAGAGAAACCCGTCCTAAAAACAAAAAATAAAAAAAGAAGTCTGAGTTCTTCAGGAACTGGAATAAAAAGGGAGATGAGGGACACTATGGTGGAGCAAGAGACTGAGTTGGAGAGACAGGACAGAAAAAAGAAAGAAATTTTAGGGTGGAAAGAGGAAAAAAGAGACAAGAGAGAGGGAAAGAAAAAGAATTTGAAGGTCCTCTTTCAGGCTATCTCTGATCTCATATTATACCACATGCACAGTCATATGCGGAACCCAATCCCCTGGTTATAGCTAGCCAATGGCTGTTCCTCACGACTGAGACTGAACACAATCTACAAAGCCTAACTTTAGTTTCCTTACCCTCAGGGTTGAACTCCACTCCGTTCTATTACAGGTTTCCCCTGCCCTTTCTTTAAAGATGTTCAAAGTTCGGAGCTCAGAAAACTACCCTTCATGGGAACCTATGCCTCTGCAGAGTTGGTCTAAGGACTGGCCCGATCAGGAGTTTTGAGAACGGGGGGGGGCGTCGTGTGGGTGTTTCAAGGGCGCCCGCGCGGCTACCTTCCTTCCTGGGTCTGTTGTCGCGCAGGCCTGGAGCTCGTGCGCACGCCGCCGGGTGATCGCAGACAGGCAGGCAGGCAGGCAGCTGAAAAAAACCCCCTCTGGGGTCTTTGGGTCCTTCCTGGTCTGTTGTCGCGCAGGCCGGGGGCTCCCGCTCAGGCCGGGAGCTCGCGCGCACGCTGCCGGGTGATCGCAGACAGAAAGTTTTTGCCATTTTAATCTGTGATCCATAACAAAGATACCTCTTAGGGCCACCTCTTAGAAAAACCCTGCTTGTCATTCATCACAGTGTGTTCATTGTAGTAGGGCTCAGTAGATTCTGCTGATCTTTTGCAAGACACAAGTGATATCATATACCAATGATAACACAGTCGGTATAGAACAACATTTTGTCTTATATTTCCTGAGGGAAAATATTTTGCTTTTTTTATTCAAAGAGTTGAGATAACAATTAGTGTTTTCATTGTAATCCTGGAAACAATGCTTGGTAATCGTTATGTCAGGCACAGAAATCAAATCTTTTGTTTTGTACTACACAATTACTTTAATCATTAAAATAAAATTGTTTTTAAAGGACAAATGATAGTGCAATCTGTATCACTGTTATACTTTTAGGCCTTATAATGTCTTGTACTGAGTAACTACTTTGAAGATGATGACACATGGTATAATAACTACTGTTATTCTCTTATTATGAAATTTTGGATTTTTTTCATTAAAAATACACTGATTCTATACAATAATTCTACATTAATCTGATAAAATAAAGGGAACCTCTTAAAGGAATGCATAAAGGTAGTCTTGTTATGTATGGTGGTAGGTTCTGTGCCAACTCTCAGTGTCTTAGAAAAAACAGTTTTATGAAGGGCATGCCCAAAGTTAGCTATGGATGTTAGGGTTGTATTTGCTTTGTGTGCTTAGACTTTTGTCAAATAGGCTCTTCTGGAAAAAGAAAAAAAAAAAGAAAAGAAAAAGAATCCTTGTATGTGTAAGTTCATTTTAACAATATTGTTGTGAGCTCATAGGGTAGTAAGAAGGCTGTTACTAAACAAAATGTAAAGAAACATCTTTATTACACACTTCCACATTATATATGTTTTGTTATTCTTGAGTTATTAAATATGAACACATTAAAAGATTGCATAAGATCATAACTCAGCCAGGCATGGTGGCACACATCTATAATCCTAAAACTCAGGAGGCTGAGGCAGGAGGATACCTGCAAGTTTGAGGCCAGCCTGGGCTACATAGTGAGTTCAAGGCCATCCTGGACTTCATAGCAAGACCCTGTCTCAAAAAAATAAAATAAAAAGATGACTCAGCAAAATTTTTTTTCTTTGTGCAGAACATTACTTACTAGGCTAAATACATGTTATGCATATGTATTTTAAGAATTTATATTTACATCTGTAGCATTTCACAGGTATTACTAGGAGGGAGGTTTTAATCTCTTTTTTTAAAACGGTACTAGGGATTGAACTCAGGGCCTTTGCACCCCTTTTTTATTATTGAGGCAGGGTCTTGCTATGTTGCCCAGGCTGGCTTGAACTTGGTTATTCTTCTGCTTCAGCCTCCCAGTGGCTGGGGTTGTAGGTGTGTGCCATCATATCTGGCTACAAATTTTACTCATTGGAAGAACAGACCTCATATGCTTTGGACATTTGGCTCCTGCTTTTATTCTAAAAAGTCATATGCTTAGGACTTAAATTATAATAGAGCTATTTGATCATACACTTTTCTGTCATTTTCCCTGAATATCTTTTTATTCAGATAATTCAGATTTTTAATTTTTGTGCCAAGATGAAAAGTTAGTTTTATGCCTGTTGCCAAGTGAAACAAGCTACTATTCTTAAAACAAGCAAAACACAGTCATATTATTACTAGTCATAGAATTTCTGACATTTTTAAGATACATTCTTGGAGTTTGGGTGACCTGTGAATAATTCTTTTAAGAAAAAGATAAGTATTTTCAGTTTCTTCCCCAAAAATACCATTTTGTTGTTTGTCCATTAAATATTTTACCTTAATGGTTATAATTTAAAAGTTCATCTTATAAAGAGAAATAATCATAGGTTTGTGAATTAGCTGGCAAAAAGCCAAGCGCAAACAATCGCTGCATAATCTCGTGTGGAATACAAAAAATTTATCTCATAGAAATTCAGAGTAGATGGTGATTATAGGGATAAACTATAGGGAAAGTTGTGTTCAATGGGTGGTAAGAGGTAGGTGTAAATTCTGGTATGCTGATCCATAATGAGATTATTATAGAGAACAACAAGGTATGGGTATATTTCAAAAAGCTATGAGAATGGAGTTTCACCACAAATGGTATTGGAGGAGATATGTGTAACTAAGATTTATATAATAAGTACACATATCAAAATATAACACAGTACCTCATAAATGGGCACAATTTTTGAATGACAAATGGGCCAATTATTATAAACTATAGCAGCTCTTTATCTCTTTGTCCCATGGATTATAGGAACGTATTTTAGCTTTTAAAACTTCTTACTGACAGAATCATAAAAGTTCATCAAGGACTTTCTCTGTGATTAGTGTTACAGTTACATTTTTTGGTGAATAATCCACAGTTGTTTGTCAGGAGTTCATGGTCAAAACAAGGATAGACACTTAAAGAAGTAGATTTATAATTAAGATAGGATTCTGTGGTTAAAACAAAATGAGATTGTTTTCTGTAGTAAACTAATTCAGCAGTTAAATCAGTACTCTACTAATGCGTCCCCTCCCTCATGTTATCTAACCACCTGTCATTAGTGCCACAGATAATTATAACTACAAGAACTCACCAAAGCTCAAATCTGATCATTTACCTAAATTCTGACATATTTAGATAATATTTAAGAATTTGTAAAATTTAGCTTCTTCCATTGTTTGTCATTGCCATTAATGAGTGATAATCCAGACTGACTTAGTATGTGTGTGTGTGTATTATATATATATATTTAATTGCTTTTAATTGGCTATTATATAATTTTGAACAGATACTTTTAATGTTCCTTCCAAACCAAATGAAGGCTCTTAAAATCCTCTCCTCGTGAAACTGTTGCTACCTACATACCAGGTAGTAAACTCACACTATGTGCTAACAGTTGGTTGGTTGTTTTTAATAGGAATATGATGATGAATGGGCAAAGAAAATTCAGAGGGAAAAGTTTTGCTGGCATAACTCTCAGTGGCTGGAGATGGTAGAGAGTCGTCAGATGGATGAGAGTGAGCAGTACTTGTATGGTGATGATCGAATTGAGCCATATATCCATGAAGGAGATATTCTCGAAAGACCTGACCTTTTCTACAGCCCAGGTAAGGTAATAACCAAGCAAAAATTTGCCTTGTTCTTATATTAGGGATTTTGGCCTGCCAACCTTGCACATTCTGAAACTTTCCAAGCCCTTCTTTAAATACATAAATAGGCTTTTACTAGTAATTTCAAATGTACTATTTGTACACACCAAAAACATGTATTAATTCACCAGTATTTCTTCCAAGTTAGTCTTTAATGTGATCTCCATTTAAAAGTATATAGCTAGGAAAATGAATTGCTCTTAATTACTTCCTAGAATGTATCATTTCAATCGATATCGTCAAGATTTATAGTTTGTTTTTCTTTGTATTTAATCTTAACAGATTAATTTTGCTGTAGTTTTGCTTTAGTTTTAAACTGCCAAACTACTTGGTGACCGTTGAGAAGATTTAAATACTTGGTAGCAATATTTTTCCCTTCTAAACTCTGCAGATGTTTTCAAGGTAAAATTTAGAATAGGCATATGTTATGACTATTGATTATGCCATACCTCTGTTTTTAAGGAATGAATTTTGCATATTTTGGCCTTACATGTTTTCTTCTGTTTCCTGTATTAATTATCAGTTGTAGTCTCTTGGCTGAGAAGAGAAAGAAAAGGATTGCTAATGAAAATCTGTGCAAGGTTGGAAATAAAGGACATTAAGGCTGGGGAGTGGTAGCTCAGTGGTAGAGTACTTATGTAGCACATGTGAATCCCTGAGTTCAATCCCCAGCACCACAAAAAAACAAAACAAAACATTAAATTACATGTGAAATGGCTCAGCTTTTTTCTACCATGTGTTCTTACTATGTATTTATTAGATACTTAGCATATTTTCTAAGTTTTCATGTATTAGCTCATTTTGTCAGAAAATTTTGTGTGTGATCAATGGTTGATTGTATAAATCATCACATCAAATCACTAATAATTGTTATCTGATCAACAAAACTATTCACATTTTCGTGTATGTTCATAATTCTTAACTGTATGGAAAGTGTAGATACTATACTTTTATATTTAATATAGGTCCTTGAATCCTGGAAAATTCATGCTTTGCTTTAAAAATTCAATACACTTCTTCCTAACTGAACTTTACAGTAGTTATGAAATTCTGCTTTGTGTTTCAAAACAGCTGGGATAAATCATTAATTTTAGCCAACCAGAATTTGAGTTCAGTAATGGCAAGCAGCTGTTCTTTCCATATTCAGTACTCATGAAGTAAAATGATGTAAAATATATATGATAAGGATTTTTGTTTAGAGGAATCAGAATATTCTAGAATCAAGTTTCTTACTTTGAAGATTGATAGCTACCTGTCAGCGTGAATCACTTATCAGCTTCCAAATCTGAGAAACTATTATCATGTCAGTATTCAACTTTGTTGTTTAGTACAATTAAAATTTCAAAAGATGTTTAAAGTTATTAGCACATTTCTAAATTCATTTAAAGTAACCTCCTAAGTGAAAATTATATTTTTTATGAGTTACTTTTAAATGTGTTAAGTATTCTTCTGAGAAAACTGAATTATGTATATTTTATATACCCAAATTTAGAAAATAGTAACTATGGAAAAATAAAATTAAGTATTTGAGTGGTGAAATATTAGATACTCATGTTTTTTTTTTTTATTGAGTTTATTGGTACATTTAGGGATACAGTACAGTTACATTCATTGCTGGGATCATGTACCTTTACATGGCAAGTCTTGATTCTCATTTTTTTTTTTTATTGAGTTTATTGGTACATTTAGGGATACAGTACAGTTACATTCATTGCTGGGATCATGTACCTTTACATGGCAAGTCTTGATTCTCATTTTTTCCCCTTACCTCTGCCCTCCCTTCTCCCCCTCTCCCCTTCC